GATTAGGTATGCTCATCTTATAATATAGCCTTGCTTTTAAAAAAGAATCATTTGTTTTTACTAAACATGTTTATGAATTACTTAAAAATTAAATTTAAAATGTTCATTTTCAAAATGGAATAATAATACTGAATTATAAAAATATAGAATGTATTATTAAAGAGATTATTAGTGGGCATCTAGTAAGTAGAGATCACAAGGAGCCAATATGACTCCATCAAAACCAGGTCATGCCTTACTGAATAACCTTATTCCTTTCTTGATAGAGTTATTAGATTTGTAAGTTAAAAGGAATGCCCTAGATAAAGTTTATCTAGATGTTGTAAAAACATTTGAAAAAGTCTCTTATACTATTATTTTCGTGGAAATTCTGGAGAATGAGATGTGGGCTAGTTAATAGTGCAGTTAAATGAATTGTGAACTGTATGAATGACAACCACTTCTAAAGGAGTCATTAATGTTTCAGTTTCTGCTTGGAGGCATGTTTCCACAGAAGGGCCTCAGGGCTCTACATGTGCTTGGCCCTTTACTAAAGGCCTAGGCATGGCATGCTTAACAAATTTACAGATGACATGAAGCTGGGAGGGCTCATTAACGTGTAGGATGATAATCAGAATTCAAAAAGATCTCAACATTGGGGCAATACAATTAAGATCAAATATGGTGATAAATATTAACATTTTACACTTGGCTTCAAAACATGTATCATGAGTGGAGAAAGCATGGCTAGACAGTCATTCATCTGAAGATGATTTGGGGATGTAAGTGAAGAGGAAGCTGCTTCAGAGTCAATAGAGTGATAGAATAACCAAGAAAGCCATTGCAACCTTGGGCTTTTGTTTAAGACAGGCCCAGCTTCTGGACTGCGCCGACTATATCTGGAGTATTGTATTCCGCTTCAGGCACTGAAAGCCATTTGATACACTCATGAGTGTCAGAAAGAGGACGACCAAAGGGAATGAGGGCTTCCAGATCAGTCTTATAAGAGTCATCAGAAAGAATTGGTCATGTTTAGTGTGAGGAAGGGGAAGACTTGGTGCGATAGGTTTTGGAGTGGAAGGAGTGGTGGGGACAGGGAGAGGAGCAACAGTACTTAAATTGTCTGAAGGGCTATCTCTTGGAAGAAGAGAGATTCCACTTGTTCTTGGTCCTAGAAGGCAATGGATAGAAGTTGCAAAGAGGTCAATTTATGCTTACTGTTAGGGAATATTTTGGTTAACACACTTAAAACAGCCTAAAAGACCATTGCTACGATGGGTGCCTTCTTGGTGGAGATTTTGGAGCAAAGTCTGGATGTCTGCTTGAGGGGAAGGGTCTCCTGTTTAGGGATAGTCTGGACTGGGTAGCCCCTGGGGTCCCTGGAAGTTGTATGGTTTTGTATGAATCTGACTCATTTAACATTGAAATCACTGAATTGTACCAAAGGTTAAAACTTTAAATGCTGTAGTTGTAAAACAGCATTTTAAAACAGCAAAAATTCTAAAATGTCTTGTCTTTAGCTTGGTGAGGTTAGAAGACAGTTAGTTATGAGGAAAGCTGTAAGCCAAGATGATATTCCTGCTTAAATGTTAAAATATCACGTAGTCAGTCTTATCATTTTGAAATTTGTGTTTTCAAAACTGCTTTCAAAAATGGTGGCGTTCTGGGGTAGAGAGCGCTTGGACTTGTGCTTAAGAGATTTTGTTCTACTACTTAAGGAGTAGCTACATGAATGGCATCAAATCTTGGTCCGGATAATTGCCTGCCCAAGATTCCATGTAGACAAAATTGTGGACATTGAAATCCTCTTGATTTTTAAAACCTAAGAAACATTTATGCTTTAAAATGAAGATTTGGGAATTTAAATTTCCTGAAACATTGCTATAAATCTGTTTTAGGGGGTCATTAGTGACCTAGCAAAGATGACTTCTACAGATGTTGGCCTAGTCCTGTAGTATCTCTTTTTATCTCAAATTGTACATCCCCATTGAGCATTTCAAATTTGACATCCTGTAGGCATCTCAAACTCAGCATGTCTGAAAGAGAACTCATCTTTTGTGCCTTGGATGTACCCTTGTTCCAAACTTTGCTATTCCTGTTGAGGATTCTACTAGTATTCCAGTGCACCTAAGTTTTCAACCTTAAAGCCACCTATAACTCCTCACTGTCTCTTACCCTGTGATATATCCAGTCAGTTACCAAATCTTGATATTTCTTTTGTTGTTCAATTGTGTCTGATTCTTCATGACTCCATTGGGAACTTTTTTGCCAAAAATGCTGGAGTAGTTTGCCATTTCCTTCTACAGCCCATTTTATAGATGAGGAGCCTGAGTCAAACAGGGTTAAGTGAATTGCCCAAGATCACACAGCTAGCAAGTGTCTCAGGCAAAATTTGAATTCAGGTCTTCTTGACTCCAGCGAGGTGGCTCAGTGGTTAGACTTCTAGAGCACTGGACTTGGAGTCAGGAGGACTTGAGTTCAAATATGGCCTAAGATACTTGCTAGGTATGTGATTCTGGGCAAGTCACTTAGCCTTTTTGTCTCAGTTTCCTCATCTAGAAAATGGACTGGAGAAGGAAATGGCAAACCCACTCCAGTATCTTTGCCAAGAAAATCCCAAATAAGGGTCATGGAGGCTTGAATACAACTGAAATGACTCAGCACCACTTTCTGGCTCCAGGCCCAACTCTGTTCTCTGAGCCACCTAGCTACCTCCTTGACATTTCTTTTTTTCTTTTCTTTTTTATTTTTTGACATTTTTACTGCCACAAAATTTCTTCTATCCATCCATTTCTCTCTAATTACACAGCCATCATCCTAGTTCAAGCCCTAATTGCCTCTTCTCTAGACAATTGCAGTATCCTCTAATTCATCTCCCTACCTTCAAATCTCTTCCCTCTCCAATCCATCATCCACACAACTATCAAAGTTATATTCCTAAATTACAAGTCTGTTTGCCTATAGGATAAAATATAAATACCCCTCATAGGCATTTAAAGCCTCTTAAAACCTAGCCCCAGCTTACCTCTCCAGTTTTATTACGCATTGCTCCTCTTTATTTTTTGCTACAGTCCAGCCAAACTGGGCCTCTTGATGTTCTTCTCACAAGACAACCCATCTCCCATTTTTGTGCCTTTATTTTATGTGGACTGTCCCCTATCCTTGGGATGTACTTCCTCTTTACTTTCACCTCTTAAAATCCCTAGTTTCTTTCCAGATTCAGCCCAAGCACTATCCTCCATGTAAGGTTTTTCCTGATTCTTTCTTTTCCTTCTTGTTCCTGGGGTCTTCTCCTCTCTTCCCTTATTATCTTCTATTCACAGTTGCTATACTTAAGTAGTATATACATGTTGTCTCTTTCAATAGAATGTAAGCTCCGTAAGATCAGCAAATGTTTCTTTTTTTATAATATCTTTATCACTAGCACAGTCCCTGGGATGTTGTAAATGCTTAGTATATATGCTTGTTGATTGATTAACAAAGATTTGTGGCATGACCTTTACTCTTTGTTTGACTCTATTTCCATTGGTCTGCAAACATACTTGTGGGAATTCTGGTTAATGCATAACAAGAAGTCAGAAAAACCATGAAATGACAACTTGTTGGGATGAGTAAATCTTTAAAATTTCAAAACAACTTTTAGAATGTGTGGATATTTATTATTTGAAAGTATTTTTTAGAACTTTCAGGGTTTTCAGTTATTTGAATGTGTAGTCTATGGGAATATACTAGTAGAGATTTAGCATTGTGTTAACTGACTTGATTCCACTTTTCTTCTGTATCCTGAATGCAAGCATCACTTTTGCTATCTTTCTCATTTTGATCTTTTTCTTGCCCTTGACCTGAGCCTTGGACTGTCAGTGTCTTTGGAGACTGTTTCACGTGCTAGACACCATGTGCCCTGAGCAGCTATGTTAGTCAGTAGAGGCCTTGTCTTTATCTAACACGTTTTGCCTGTATTTGTAATTTTGTAGAGACTATGCTGCAACAAAGAAAAGGACTCACGAATACAGCACAGGTTCTTTCCAAATTACAGAATTGATGGTATTTGAGGGGACTCAATGTCACCTGTGGCATTTCCAGTGCATAGATAACCCAGAATGGGAGTGACCAAAGTGGCATATTGATTTTGACTGCTTTTTGAAGTAGCAAAGAACCTGTGGAGTCAGGGATCTAACTAGTATACCCTGAACCATATTTCCTCTACATTGCTCCCCACTGCCACTGCCATCTGACTCAGCCAGATGGTGATAAGCAAAAGTTTGATTCCATCCAATAATCACTGACAATAATGAAGTACCAGCCTTTTGATCTTTCCTAGGGAAATGTCTTGCTGGCATTATCTCCATATCGTGAGTATTTGGGGAAAGATAGCAACAAAATAACAAGAGACCTCTTTTCTTAAAGTAAGGGATTTTGAAAGGTGTAGATGTTATCAGGAAGGGAGGGACTGGCTCCTTATCACTCTACTTCCAGCTTATCCCTCTCCAGGAATTGATAAATTAACAGAAAAAACTTGAATCTTATAACATTGTAGGACAAATCTGTCCTGAAATGACCAATTTTGTAAGGTCAAAAATCTTTTACTTTTGGTTTAGCGAAGATTATCTATATGGACAGTAAACATATGTATTGCTTCTTGAAATGTGAAAAAATTAAAATCAGATAAATTTAGAAGATGGTTATCTACATGTACAGAAGAATTCTTGGCCTTTAAAAATCTTTACCACACATTTCCTTTAAGTAAATAAGTTACCTTAGTGTATTTAATGCATGATTGGATTTAAAAATAAAATTTACACAGATAGTTCAGGAACATATAATTGTATGAAGTGAGGACATTGGTTTGGTGGCAGTTGTAGTAATTCGGACTTCCCAGCAGAGGTCCTCAAAGTGAGGCTTGCAAAGCATTTTCCCCCTGGCATTTAGTTTTCTATTTTGCTGTGTGTTATAAGAATTTTAATGTTACATTAACATATAATTTGAGCTATAAAACTGTAATTTTCTTTTTTTCTTTTTAGCTCCATTTACCTCTTAATTCACCTTTGCCTGGAAGTGAATTGACCAAGGAACCTTTCCGCTGGGATCAGAGACTCTTTGCGTTAGTGTTGCGGTTGCCTGGCACCATGGCTGTTGAATCAGAGCAGTTGACAGGTGTGCCTCTAGATGATTCTGCAATCACACCAATGTGTGAGGTGACAGGAGGTAAGGTTTTTGATTTTAAAATAAAAACAAAACCCTTAGTTGGTGCTATTCTAAGAGCATTTTAAAATTCCTCCAGTCACTGAGGGCCTTTGGCTTTCATGGACACTTTGAATAGCAATATTTCATGCTCCTTAACTAGAAAATGGAAGTGTTCAAAGCTGCTTAGATGTTGTTCATAAGTGTTGAATAACTAGTATGAGATTTACAATGTAGAGTTATTAGACTGGTATGGTAGAAAGAACCTGACTCTGGGGTCAGAGTTCAAATCCCATCTCTGATACCATCCAGGGGACCATGGCAAGTCACTTCACTTCTCTGGGCTTCACTTCTCATCTATAAAATGAAAGGGTTGAATTAGATGCCTCTGAGTATGCCTCTAGAGCTAGATCTATGAGCCCTAAAATGAAGATCTGGATAAAGGGGAAGAGTCCTTCCCGTATTAGTTGCAAGCATTGAAGTTAGATTTAGTGTATGAAAGAGCTTCCTGCAAGGGTTGTTTATTGGACCAAACCATTGAGGAAGATTGCAGAATACTTGTAATTGAAAATATTTTAAGAATAGGCTATCCAAGGACATAAGTGTACAGTTCATCTTAGAGACAAAGGAGCAAGGAAGAAGTTTCTTTTAATTCAACCTTGTGTTCCACTTAAAAATCAGACTACTTAATTACTATGCTAAGCGGATATTAATAAATAACTCAAAAGGTCACAGTGGTCAAGAGATGTTTGCAAACCGTGTCACGAACCAATTCGTCTGAGACGTTCAGATGTAAAGTCAGATATACTGTTGTCACCTACCTTGTCACCTTGACCATGGGCATCTTAAATTGTATGTGTGCTTGTGTGTGTATATGGTTCAATGAATGAAAAAATATTTATTAAGCATTTACTAAGTGCAAAGCACTGGCAGTACAAATAGAAAAAGTAAGAATCCTTGATTTCAAGAAACTTCCCTTTGTCATGGGAGAAGAAGATAACAAACATAGGCAGCTTCTTCTGTAGGTCAGATGACAAAGCCCAGCAGCCCTTAGCGTACAGTATTGTATCATCTGTCATTTCCATTAATAAAAATGTTTCAGTTTCTGTTGGTGAACCATTTGATGATTCCGAGGACTTTAGTGACAAGTTTCATTTCTTGTTCTTTAAGTGCTTGGCTGAAGAGAAGGCGTGGATTAGAGCACCTGAAGTAGTTGTCAGTTCTAACTTCTGCACAGGTTGCTTCCCTAGCCTTAGGCTGGAAACAGTGTTTTGAGGGAGAAAGGCTTGGGGGTGGTGGTGGAGCTGATTAGATTTACCTTGCAATAGCTATCTATTACCTTTCTTCTCAGTGGCAGTTGGTTGATATTGTTGTTGATGCTAACAGTGTTGGTGGGCCCTTCCACTGGGCTTGCTCAAATGGTGGTCAGGGAGTGGTGGTGTGGTGGTTTGATCTGCCTGTCACATGCCTCATCCTGTTTTTCCCATAGAGCTTATACATTCATGTTCAAGGATTTTGTACTATGCTGAGCCATTTGCAGGTCTGACACAGTTTTTGAAACCTCATGCCATAGAATTTAGAGCTTGAAGAAACCTTACGGACTGTATAGTCCAACATCTTTTTTCAGATAATTAGATAATTGCTCATTGTGTTTATAATATTCCCTAAGATGTACACAACTTTTCAGGGTGTTTTTTTAATTTGTTAGATTGAAAAACCCAGATTGCACATATGCTATGTATACAGGTTGAAAATTTCTGCATTTTTCTCTTAAGTTTTTTCTTTTTTTGCAGAATAAGTGTAAAGTTGTAGGAATATTACGAGTGACTTAGGGCAGCTAGGTTCAAATAAATTCAGGATTGTACAACAAAGTGGCATAATCATAGAATGACCAGAAGGAAACTTGAGGTTCATCTAATAATAAATCTCTCTTCCACCCAAGCAGCTAGCTGGTGTAGTGGACAGAGCATTGGTCCTGGAGTCAGGAAGACATGTGGCCTGAAACACTTGCTGGGCTGTGTGGCCCTGGGGAAATGACCTAATATCTCTGCCTCTGTTTCCTCAGCTGTAAAATGGGGATGATAATAATAGAACCTATCTTACAAGGTTGTAGTAAGGATAAAATAAGATAATATTTATGAAACATAGTGTCTGGCACGCAGTCTTTTAATAAATGCTTATTGCCACTACCACTCTCTTCCCCTTTACGCAGTTCTATATCAGAACAATTTTTACTATTTCTTGCAAACCTCCCCCCCCCCTTTTTTTTGGTTAACCTCTAAAACAGATGAGTCTGCAACCTTCCCTTGTCTTATATTTTAGCCTCTCAGGAACTGTAGGATGTTAGAAAATTATTTCTAAAATCTAACAGATCCTTGTAGTTATACTAACAGTAATGCAAATAGAGGAAAGCTGTTCTTTGTCACCTTTTTACATATGGGAAGGTTTTAAAAGGCTTAACTCTAACTTTTTCTAGGTTAGATAAATTCATCTTTTAACCTTTCATTGTTAGCTCATTTCAAAAATTAGAATTTTTCTTCTTTTGCTTTCCTAGATTTAATTACAATGCTACTCTAGAATTTTTTGTTTGTTTGTTTTATTTTGTTCTTTGCTTTTTGGTGAGGCAGTTGGGGTTAAGTGACTTGCCCAGCATCACACAGCTAGTAAGTGTCAAGTGTCTGACTTCAGATTGGAACTCAGGTCCTCCTGACTCCCAGGCTGGAGCTCTATCCACTGTGCCACCTAGCTGCCCTCTACTCTAGAATTTATGCGCTTAAAACAGGGCCTTGTTCTGGGCTATTCATTTGTATTCATGTGTCTGCTCTGGTCTATGAGAACTATCATTGGCCAAACCAAATGAAGTCTTAACTTTCAGGATTTAGGATTTTGTGTGTTCTTGTCAAAATTGCTTCATATCTTTAAGAGCTTTTAGTTGATTTTGATTAAATCTAGTATACTTTTGGAGAGTGTCAAGACAAGTTTTATTTTAAATGTGGTTTAATCTGCTTTCATAAGACAGATGGTGATTCATAAAAATTTTCAAGTGGTTATAACTCATTTTTAATGTAGTGCAATGCATTTTGGCACATTTATAAAAGTAGAATGTTGCTTACCCATCTCTTGTGACTGGCATTACTTTGAGACTGCAGAGAAGTAAGGTCTGTGGTATGTAGAACCAATAATTAACTAATATGTATAGAATTATGATGAAACAAGTCACAATGGAAAAATAAAGAGGCCTTGTGAGGATTCATCAACATCTGTTGATGCCACTATATAGAACAAGGCTTAACCATTATTAAATGTTATACATATCCCCAGTCCTCTGTATCACACATGTACCTCATACATTTTGGGTAACAACACCATCATTTGAGTATAGCAGCTCTACTTCCAAACCAGTTTGGTTTTGTAAAGTTAGTTTTATTAACTTGAACTTGCTCATCATGACATTGAATGAACAAAGGACAGCACAGATATAGTTTCTAATCTACACTAATGCCAGGCCTCATTATACTTTGTCCTCTAACCAAAGCTGTTTTTGAGTTTGTGTTTCATTATTGACTGGTATGTTTGTATTTTTCAAAATAACATTTTGCTAAAGGTCATATATGCTAAATACATATGTTATAACTACTTTGAGAACTTTAATATCATGTCTTTCAACTAATATTGATTGCATTTGTGAAAAGGACAACAGCCTCTATTGACTTTATAACAACTAAAATGATGAGGTTTGGATTAATGATTATTAGGCAGATTTTCAGATTCCTAGGCTTTTCAAGCTATGTTCTAATAATTATACTCTGCAAATATCTACTTAAGAAATGTATGTTAGAATCTTTCTTTTGGTTATTTTATTGTTAATATTGAGCTAGGTATTGTTAATATTGATCTAAACTCCAAAAAAATGACCATTTTCATCTACACAGCACAACACAAAAAGAATGTCTGTGATACTGTGAATCTCTTATTTCATACCACTTGCTTTAAAAAATAATTTACTAAATTCTATCCATTATTTTCAAAACTGTTCTGCTTACCTGTGCACTTCCTTCTTTCTTTCTTATTTTTTTTTTTGGTGAGGCAGTTGGGGTTAAGTGACTTCCCCAGGGTCACACAGCTAGAAAGTGTCAAGTGTCTAAGGTCGGATTTGAACTTAGGTATTCCTGACTCCAAGGCAGGAGCTCAATCCACTGCACCACCTAGCTGCCCCTCTTCTGTGTACTTCTAAAAAAATATTTCAGTGGCTCTCTTTTTAAATTTCTTTCTTTCTCTTTTTTTTCCGCAATTACAATTCTTCCCCTTTTCTCTTAAAGCAGAGGGAGAAAAATAAACCTTGTTACACGTAAGCACAGTCAAAAGCAAATCACATAATGGCTAAGTGAAAAAAATGTCTGTTTCCTTTTGGCACTGTGTGTCACTTCTCCAACATCAGGCACGTAACATTGTAGCCCTCTGGAGATGTGATTGGTCATTACTTTGCTCTGAGTCCTTACTGTCTTTCAAAATTGTTTTTCTTTACAATGTCATCGTCATTGTATAAATCGTTATTTTGCCTTTGCTCACTTTACTCTCCATCACAACCTGCTTCTCAGGAGTCATTGAAATCACCTTTTTTGTCATTTTTTTACAACACAGTTATATTCCATTATCTTCGTTAGCCACAATTTGTTCAGCTATTTTAGATGTTTCTGTTTTTAAATTTTAAACCTTAGTTGAATCCCTAATTTCAGATGAGTGACGTTCATCTGATTGCCCCTCTTCACCACCCCTTTATCCATACTTGTATATGCATATTGTCATGTAGAGCAGCTAGGTGGCACATGGATAGTGCAGGGCTGGGGAGCCTGCAGCCTTGAGGTCCTCAAGTGTGGCCCTTTGATGGAATCCAGACTTCACAGAACAAGTCCCCTTAATAAAAGGATTTGTTCCGTAAAACTTGGACTCAGTCAAAAGGCCATACCCAAGGACCTAAAGCGCCACATGTGGCCTCGAGGCCACAGGTTCCTCTTCCCTGGTAGAGTGTCAGGCCTGGAGTTAGGAAGACCTGAGTTCAAATCAGGCCTTAGAGACTTACTAGCTTTGTGACCCTGGGCAAGTCACTTAACCCTGTTTGCCTCAGTTTCCTCATCTGCAAAATGAGCTAGAGAAGGAAATGGCAAACCACTCTTGACAGCTTTGCTAAGAAAACCCCAAATGGGGTCATGAAGAGTTGGACACTACTAAAATCACTGAACAGTTTTCATGCATATCAATTACGAGTAGTAAGTTATGCTCTCTTTTTCTTCCTCTTTCGGCTTTTTCTTCTTCTACCTTTAAAACTCTCAGAACTGAATCAGTCCACCTTTATATCCTCTTTTTCTTGTTTAACTCTCTAGATAAACTTTGAAAACGTTAAGCTTCTGGGGAGATCTTTACTTCTCCCCATATTAAAATTTTCCCCCTTTACCATCTTAAGAGGCAGCTAGGTGGCACACTGGATGGAGTACTGGACCTGGAATCATGAGGACCCAAGTTAGATCTATCCTCAGACTTAATAGCTGTGTGATTCTGGGCAAGTCATTTAACTTCTATTGGCCTCAGTTTCCTCATTTGTAAAATAGAGGTCATAATAATAGTACCTACCTCCAAGGGCTGTTGTGAGGATAAAATGAGATATTTGTAAAGTGCTTTGCAAATTTTGAAGTGCTATACTAATGCTGCTTATTATAATCATACAGTTCTTGCTAAATTCTGGTCTTTTCCCCAGGAATGCTTGAAATCCTGTTCCTTTAAAAGCCTTTTTAAAAAAAATACGTAGTTTTATAAGGTATGGGGTTTTGTTTGTTTTTAATTGTAAGCCTATATCTTTTGCCTCTTGTTGTATTAGGTTCCTTTGCTAACCTTTACTTCCCCAGGGTTAGATCTACCTGCATATTAGAGGTTCAGAGTCCTAAGGGTCTGGGGGGTCTTGGTTTTCATGCTGCCATGCCCAGACTGGCCTCTGTTTCTTATGGTTCCTGCCTCTAATGGTCCCTTCAAAGATTCCCCAACGTGCTACCTTATAGGTTTCCATATGCCGTGAACCTTTTTTGGGGAGAATATTCTGTTCCCACTGATTGTGGATGTAGAAACTTGCAGGCTACATGTGTCTGGCTAATTTGTAAGGTTGTTATATGGTTGGCTTGAGCTGGGATGGCTGACTTTTCTAGAGGTGACCTCCCTTCTGTTGCCTGTGTGCTTTTAGAACACATATTTTTGTATAGTTCTGAGATCGAGGAAATCAACTTACTGTAGTTCCTTATTGGATTTCTTGATCATTATTTGATCTGCTGTGATGTTTTAGGTTTTCCTGGACTTTCAAGTAATTGAATCCAGAGAACCCATTAAGAATGCAAAAAGGAGAGTTTATTTGTGATAGGGCTGAAGTTTAAACATTTCAGTTGGGGGGAAAATCCCTCCCCTCCAAATGTATATACAAGTATTTGTGCATGTGTGCCTCAGCTACTATTCATTATTCACATGTAAACTCATCCTAAGGTTAAATGACATCACAGAGGACAGTTTGTTCCATAGGAAAAGAATGAGACAGGAGCTGAATCTTCACCACTTTGGTGAAGAAGAGATTCAGAGGAAGGCAGCTCTAAGACACAGGGTGGCTGCCATTCAGTTTAAGAAATACCATTGAATGCTTGCCACATGTCCTTCAATGATTTGTTTGTAATTTACTGAATAAAAGAACTTGTCACTCAGTGCCCTCTATGGTCTGAAACTAATGACATGATATAGTAGAGTGGTTCTTCACCTAGTGTCTGTGAACTTGTTTTAAAAAAAATACTTGATATTTATATTTCATTATAATTAGTTTCCTTTGTAATCCTGTGTATTTTATTTTATGAACCTAAAAACATCATATTGAGAGGGGGTCCATTGGCTTCACCAGAGGACATAAAAAATTAAGAACCTCTGGTATAGTGAAACAGGACTGGCCTCGGAACCAGGCCTGAGTTTCAGTCCCAATTCTGACAACTCTGAGAAGGTCACTTAATATTTCTGAGTATCAGTTTCCTCATTTGTAAAATGGAGGTGATGCGTTAATTATATCATCAGGTTATTGTAAGGAAAATGCTTTGTAAGCTTTCGTGTCCAGCTCCCCTTTGATGTGTTCTTGGTAAGTATCTGTTGACAAGAACCATCTTGCTCATGCGTATGTTCCTCAGCACTAAGCACAGTGACTGGCACCTATAGTAAGTGCTTAATAAATGCGGTCTTAGTCATTAATACACATTTTAAAGATTACCATTCGTTATTAGCTTTTTAACACAATCTAAAAACTGGAATGGACTTCCAAGGGCTATGCAGTTTAATTTATATCTACACAAGATATTCTTCCACAGTCAGTCTCAGCTGAAAGATACAGATAAAAACTCATCTTTGGAGGCAGCACATTCCACTTTAGAATAATTTTAATGGCTTGAAAAATTTTCCTTCCATCACACCTAAATTAGAAGCACCTAGTAGCATAGTGGATAGAGTACTAGCTCTGGAGTGAGGAGGACATGAGTTCAAATGCAGCTTCAGACCCTAGCTGTGTGACCCTGGGCAAGACACTTAACCTCCCTCTGCCTGTTTTCTCAACTGTGAAATGAGGATTACAATAGCACCTACCTCCCAGGGTTGTTGGGAGGGTCAAATGAGGTAATATTTGTAAAATACTACGCAGTACCTAGCACATAGTAAGTACTATATAAATGTTTATTCCCTTCCTCCTCCCACTCTCTGCCTCTGATGCTCACACATTGTTTGAGGTGTGTGAGTGCAAAGACTTGGAGGAGGCAACGTAAGGGAAAGAGCACTGAGTTCTAAGCACTTGGGTTCAAATGCCACCCATGTGACACGTTCTCTTGGGTTGCTAAGGCACAAGGCTCCTTTGCTTTGGTTTTCGTATCTATAAAATAAGGGGTTGTGATAGATGACTTCTGGGGTTCTTTCTTGCTCTAAACCTGTGATCCTTTGATTGTGCCTGATCTGTTTGAGGCATTTTGATGTAGTAGGAAGAACACTGGACTTGGAGTGTAGAGACCAGGGTTCAAATCCTGGTTTTGACCTTAACTGCATCTGCTAGTCAGTAGCTATAAGAGGCAGGCAGCATGGTGTTGAGGTTCGAGTCGCTGGACCTGGAGGCAGGAAGACCTAGATTCAGATCCTGCTTCAGATCTTACTCTGTGACTCTGGTTGAGTTGGCTAACTTCTTCCATCCTTTAAGTTTCCTTATCTGTTAAAAGAGGGTAATATCTGTAGCACTTAACTCAAGGAGTTCTTATGAGCATCAAATAACAATGTGTATAGAAAGTGCTTTGCAAATCTTAATAACAGTATGTAAATGTAAATTTTTCTTGGTAGGAGTAATTAGCTTTCTAGGTTATGGTTTCCTCATCTGCATAAAGAAGATAAATGGTTTCACTATGTATCTTGCCAGATTCTTGTAAGGAAAGCGTTTTGTGTACCTTAAGGTGTTGTGTAATTGTACTAGTTGATAACTTTGTGTTTTCCCCCCAGTACTATGCATATAGTTGATATGGTAAATGTTGAGTTAAATTGAATATTCCTAGCTTTGGTATACTTCAAGTTTTGTTTTGGTTATATTTCGAGGAATTAGAAAGAAGTAATCTAATTATTATATAGCCATTAAAGGAAATATATATTATATTACATGTAATATTTGTAATTTGCATTAAGTATGTGTAATTTGTGATAGGGTTGTGGTGTGGAGAGATCACAGTTGCTGGTCCAAAAATTAAGTTAGTAAAAATTTCTATAATGCCTGTTGTATGAGTATTGCTGATTGTTTATAAAGTCTCTTCTTGTATAAAGTAAAGAGATGAGTCAAAATTGACTTTTAGTCAGGAATGAGATGGTCATTTCATTCATTCAGCATTAAGTAACCTCTGTGTTCAGCGTAGAGAGTTTGGCTCCAGGAAGGGTGCATTTTAGAAAAGTTCTCGTTCTTGCCCTTGTAGAATTTATAGCTCTTGACCTCTCTGGTAAAGGCAAGGACTTTGATGGCTAACTAGTTTTTGTCTTGTTTTTGTATTTTAGGCCGCTCATATTCTGTGTGTTCTCCAAGAATGCTTAATCAGTGTCTGGAGTCCTTGGTGCAAAAGGTGCAAAGTGGGGTGGTGATAAACTTTGAAAAAGCAGGACCAGATCCTTCCCCATAGAAGGTACTGTAATTTCCTAGTAGAATTTTAAAGTAAACATTGTCAGTTGTAAAATTAGAACTGAGAAATTATTTTGGTATGGCAATATACTGAGATGTTAAAACTTTAATGGTGACCAAGAGAGAGTGTTTATATAAACTAGGTAATGAAGGACTGGCTTCTCCACCGCCTACTTGTTATTGACAGTGTGGAAAAAACCCATTCATTTGTTTGGGTTTGAAAGGTCAGGATTAAGCCTGGACTGTCTACTTCTTTGCCTGTATGCAGCCTTCATCTAGACTCACTCTCAGTCTCTTGAGTATAAATGATAAGATTTTTAGACTTTTTAAAAGCCATGCTTGGGTGAAGAGATAGAACTCAACAGGCAAAATTTTACCTTTGTTTTTCTTTGATGCTCTAAGGAGTCTATCTCAGAAGTCTGAAAGTTGCTAGTAGAGGTGATCTATTAGGAATAGATGATAATAGATATTTTATGGGTTTGGTAACTGTAGAACTTTAATGCTGTAGTGGACAGTGTTAGTGTGGTAGTGTTGAACAGTTTAGTTGCTTTTGAGTATTTTCTTACATAGTAACAAAATTGTTAGGGGGATTCATAGTCACTTTGATTTTACTATTTAAATTTATGTTTCAAATTTTTAATGATAAATGCATTTTTTGTACTTTCTTAACTACAGATGGACAGACAGAACTATCAAGACCTTTTGGATCTCAACCTTGGCACAGCTGTCATAAGCTTATCTACGTCAGACCAAACCCTAAAACTGGGGTTCCAATAGGTCACTGGCCTGTTCCAGAATCCTTTTGGCCAGATCAAAATTCTCCAACACTAGTAAGTGTCAGAAATAGTGTGGTGAGAAGCATATGAAAACAAATCATGTTGCATCATGTTCATTTTAAGTCATGGATGATCAGTATATATAATCAAGAGAAGTAAAGGGTGTGTTCTCTTTGAGGGAGAAATACATTGTTAGGGGATGTTCAAAATTCTCCATTAAGATCTGGAAGAATAGTCAGTATACCAAATTGTTCGTTATGGAGTAATTGTAGAAAAGAGTAATCTTTTTATTTTAGAAAGTAAAACTGTGCTTAAGATTTTTACTTTCAACATCTGGATACATGACCACAAATGCAGATTCTCTTTAGATTGCTGGATTTTAAACATAAAGACTTGACTTCAGTATTTATTGTTTTGGTCCAAAAATAGGCCATATTTCCCCTCATCTCCACTACCAAATTTAGCTTGTCCAAAGCCTGAGTGAGTTCACAGTTAAGGTAATAAAAATGAAGATAGTGGTGATGCTATAAAGGAATGCAACTTTTGAATGGAAATAAATATTTTTAAAGTTTCACCAAATCTCCATTAGAATATACCTCAGAAGCATCTAGTCCAAACCTCCCTTCTGTAGCACACATGGTAAGTGCTCATCCAGGAGTGGAGGACCTGCAAACCTCCTGAGGGAGAACCTTGTCCTTCTTGATGCTCTCATTGTTAGGAAGGGTTTCCAGACAATAAGCCAAGATTGTGTCTGCTTTTTATTTTACATTTATAAATAGCTGTAGATGTTTTTGCTTGTGTATTTGTATGTATATATGTGGACACAGGGCAGCTAGGTGGCGCAATAGTGCATAGAGTGCTGGGCCTGGAGTCTGGAAGACCCCTATTTGTGAGTTCAAATCTGGCTTCAGGCACTTACTAGCTATGTGAGCCTGGATAAGTCACTTCACCCTGTTTGCCTCAGTTTCCTCATCTACTAAATTATTTGGAGAGAGAAATAGCAAACCACTTCTGCATCTTTGCCAAGAAAACCCCAAAAGGGGGTCACAAAGAGTCGGATATGACTGAAAAATAACTGAATGACAGACATATGTAGATATACATCTCTGTCTACTCATGTATATACCCTTCAAAGCCGTATCATTTTGGAATGTATTTGTGTGTATGTGATCCTGTATTTGACACAGTAAGTTAAAGAACTAAAGAAGTAATTTGTAGTATTCTCTAGTACCTTAGAAATTACCAAAGGGTACTTTATAGATTCAAACAAGTAATTTGTAATTGATTCAATTAAATCCCAAAATAATCCCCACCCCTCCCCCAGCTAAATAGTATATTTAAGTTTATGGTAACTGTATGGTAATAATTTCCATTTTCATTAGTAGTATATAGTATAGTGAGGGGAGGATGTGGTTGATAGAGTGTAGACCATATATTTTGAAGCTGGTGGCCAGGAACTTATTATGTAGAGATTGGAAGGTAAGAATATGAGTTAGTAGTTACTGATGTTTTTCTCATTTGAGGAAAGATCTATGATTGTTCCAAGAATTTGTTATACTCCCCTTTTTCAGTTATCTTGAGGATCATTCCCTTGATGCTCTCAAAATTGGATTGCCTCCAGTTTGGACCCTTCAGGATCTGGTCTAGATCAGTTTATCATCTTTCCGTCCTCCTTTTCTTTAGTGCTGTTTCTACTTCCTTGTATAGCACATCAGGGACTGTAATTTTAAAGTCCAAATGTGGATACTGCAATAGATGTTGCTCCATAAACTGCAATTATTTTCTTGGTGGTTATTTTGCAGATGTTTATCATGAATAATGTAATAGGAGATGACCAAGTGTTCTGTGAAATGATGTTTATTTTTACCTGTGGATGCCTGATAAAACTATCTCCATCAGCTCATAAATGTGCCTCTCCAAGGAAACCTGCAAGCCAGCCTTGCATTTAACTGCTACTGCCTTTTTTCTTTTTGCTTCACATACAGAGGTTGATTTACATGATTTGGTCTTTATGAAGCCCAAACCAAAACATATAAAGGTACTTGCCTTCTCAAGGAGAGGAGAAGGGCAGGAGGGAATTTGGAACTCAAAGATTATTTTAAAAAACAAAAAATATCATTTGGGAAAAATTACTTTGTTTAAATTTTCAAACACCTTTTTACTTAAAAGAAAATATAAGTCAAAATTAATAAGTATTAAAAGCACTAAAAATATTAAAACTAATAAAGGTTGTGTGGCTTGAAAAATTTTCCTTCCATTACACCTAAATTAGAAGCACCCTAGGTAGCATAGTGCTAGAGTGCTAGATCTGGAGTGAGGAAGACCATGAATTCAAATCCAGCTTCAGACACTAGCTATGTGACCCTGGGCAAAACACTTAACCTCTGCCTGTTTTCTCAACTGTAAAATGAGGATTACAATAGCACCTACTTCCCAGAGTTGTTGGGAAGGTCAAATGAGATCATATTTATAAAACACTTAGCACAGTACTTGGCACATAGTAGATACTATATAAATGTTTATTCCCTTCCTCCTCCCTCTATCCGTCATGTAAATCAACCTCTGTATGTGAAGCAAAAAGAAAAAAGGCAGTAGCAGTTAAATGCAAGGCTGGCTTGCAGGTTTCCTTGGAGAGGCACATTTATGAGCTGATGGAGATAGTTTTATCAGGCATCCACAGGTAAAAATAAACATCATTTCACAGAACACTTGGTCATCTCCTATTACATTATTCATGATAAACATCTGCAAAATAACCACCAAGAAAATAATTGCAGTTTATGGAGCAACATCTATTGCAGTATCCACATTTGGACTTTAAAATCAAAGTGTATGAGTGCAAGGAGTTAGAGGAGGCAGGGTGAGGGAAAGAGCACTGAGTTCCAAGCACTTGGGTTCAATGCTGTAGGTACTTGCCTATCGTATTTCAGTAGATTACAAAGCTGAAAATGTGACCTCTTGTTCTTTACCCTTCTGTTGTCTTAGTTTTGTACTTTTCTTCTTTCACTTGTACAGCTTATGTACCACCTATCATAGACTGTTAGAACTGAAAGAGAAACCTGCTACCTCACTTTATGGAAGTTAAATGATTTACCCAAGATTACATAGTAACTAGTGGCAGATTTGCCAGAGCCCAGAAAATTCTGAGAGATAATAGATAAGGGGCACTAAAACTGCTTTCCCGCGGTATAGTATTCATTCCATTATATCATCCTGAGCAAAAGTGACCACTTCTTTATAAGCATTGTATGTAAATAAGGAAGAATATTTGAATAAGAACCCTTGTTCATCTTATTTTCCGTGGTATCACCTGTTGGGTAGTTGGAAGTGAGAAGTTCTCTGATTTAAAAGTTATACTTAGTGGAAAGATGCCATCATTTTCTTTACCCATTGTTTGTTTAAGCTAGTAGGAAAAGGTTTCTTTGTCAGGGAATAATGTATTAGTGGAACCAGTATAGCGAAATATTCCAGGATTGGGAATTGGAAGCCTGGTTCCTCTTCCTTTTCCCCTCCCCCCCAATTTTTTTTTTAAATTCACTTAACTGTATGATCTTAGGCAAGTTCCTTTTCCACTAGTCTTTCTGGGCTTCATTTATAAAAATTATAAGATTAGATGATCCCTCCCATTTCCTAACATTTTCTTTTCATATAACTTTGATATATGAATTGAATAATTAAATCTTTCAAGATGGGAGGAGCAGGGTCCTACTTTGGAACATCATAGAATCATATTTAATGCTTGAAAGGATGTTAGAGGTCATCTAATCCAACCAGATCTACTTGCTCCATTGTGGTTATTACAGTGATATTTAACAAATGTTAGTAGTAGTTATTAGGCAGCTTGAGAAAGAGAAATTGTGGGGAGAGTTGAGTTCCGTAAAATATGGAGTTGATTTGTAAAATGGAGGGTATGGTTCTGGAAGAAACCTTTAGTTGAAAGCCCTCTTTTTTTTTAAATGAAAAAACAGAGACGAGGGAGGTTGTGCCTTCTCTGTGTTCATATTGATAAATAAATAGCAGAGTCTGTATTTGAATGTAGGTCCTCTAACTCCAAATCCTGTGCTCTTTTACAATATCATTGTCCTTCTGTGCCCATCCTATTTTTCTTCTTTTGTGACATTTATAATGTGACAATATTAGACTTCAGTTTCTGTCATGAATTCACATTTAATCTAGGATGTTTAAAAAAAAAAGTCACAGAATCTTAAAGTTGGACGGGACCTTACAGTTCATCTAGTGCAATAGGATATGTCACTCCTCAGCTGAGAATTCCCACTATAACATCCCCAACAAAAGAGCATATTAATCATTTCTATTTAAGTCTTTATTAGTGTTTGAAAAAGTGTGTCGGTATGAATTTATCATAGATCTCTGCTTTTTAATTGATATTAACATAAAATGAATGGGTAATAATTAAACTGAAATGAAGATATGTTTTTAAATTGCTTTGGAAGTATCTTTGATGTATAGAGTTGGGTTTTTTTTTATTAATTGATTTTGACTTATCAACAATCACTTCCATAAGCTTTTGAGTTTTAAATTTTTTTCCCCCTCCTTTCCTGCCTCCCTTCTCAGGATGGCTTGCAATATGATATACGCTGTACATATACATTCCTGTTAAACATATTTTCACATTAGTGATGTTGTAAGTAAGAATTAGAACCAATAAGAGGAACCATCAGAAAGAGGAAACAAAACACAACAGAAGAAAAAAAATAATAAATAGTATGCTTTGATCTGCATTCAAACTCCATAGTTCTTTCTCTGGATGTGGATAGCATTTTCCAACATGAGGCCTTTGGAGAGTTCTTAGATCCTTATGTTACTGAGAAGGGCTAAGTCTATCAATATTAGTTATCGCACAACGTGGCTGTTACTGTACAACATTCTCCTGGTTCTGCTCACTTCACTCGGCGTCGAAGTTTTTATGTATATTATTGTATTATGCACTAATTTATTAACCTGTTTTGTAGGAAGATGGTTATGTGTTGAGATAGTGGGATGATAGGATAGAAAGTTAGCATGGAACAAGACTGAAGAGCTAAGAAATAATTTTGTATAGTCTGTTATCTTGAGTATAGGGATGTGTTCTATAGCAAACTAGATTGGAGCTATTTTGGTAATTTTGGGGTGGATCTGGACCTGTAATTTTTCCATTGGGATCTCAGTGTGGAAACTACTAAATGCAGATCCATAATATATCCTTAGAGAGTTGCTTGCAGTTCTGAAATTTTAAGTAACTTGCTGATGCCCACACATCTAGTTATGTGTCAGAGGCAGGATTTGAACACTTGCTCTTCCGAATTTTGAGATCAGCTCTCTCCAGTACACTGCTCAGCCTCTCCTTGGATGGGTCATTATAAAGATCATAGGTGACTTCAGAATGTCCCATTATTCTTCTTCAGTGCTATATCAGCATTGCTAACATTTAAACTTCCAAGTTAATTTAGTTTATCCTCAAAAGGGAAGTCCCTCAGTTGCCCTTGATTATTTTATGTTAATTGCTTTATGGACCTTTTATGAATCTGTTGCATTTTTCATGTAGTATAATAGCCAGAAATACATGCACTATTGTATTTTGGTTGCATTATAGTGTTTTACAAAGTCATTCATAACTGGCCTATTTGTTGAATTCATACATGAAGGGCGACAACAGGGATGCCAAATGGTATCAAAGGCAGATCTGCACTTGGGGAATAGATAATGAAGGTCTTTGTGCTCAAGAAGCATATGGTTTAGTAAAACCATATAATCTCAAAGTTGGAAGGAGAGAAAGGGAATCTTAAAAGCTATCATAATTTCATTTTTAGATGAGGAAAACCATGATTCATAGGAATAAATCATTTTGCCTAAGGTCACATAGCAAGTTAGTGGCACAGCCTAGACTAGACTCAATACTCTTTACAGATAAAATATAAATGCAGATAGTTTAGAGTCAGCTTGTACTGTAAGAGTGGTACAAAAAGCAATGGGAAGAGAGGGAGCAGAGATCACTTCCACTGGAATTGATTTGAGATGATTGTATATCGAATTATATTTAAGCCGGGTCTTGAATGACTATTTCCACAGACAGAATATCCAAGTGGAGGGAGAAGCAAAGATGGAAAGAGAGAAGTTTTATTTTCTAGGAATGGTGAGTCCAGTTTAGTAGGCACATTGGTTTTGTGTTGGTATGGGGCATTGGTGGGTCGTTATGGTGGAAAGTTAATGTGGACTCACACTGTGAAAGGTAAGGAGTTTGGACCTTGTTCAGTAGGTACTGAGAAGCCATTTAAGTTTTGGGGTTTTTTTAGCAGGAGAGTAAAAAGAAAAAATTTACTTTTTTAAACTGGAGGATTTTGTATGTTAATTATTGAGAGGGAGAAGAGAAGGAGATTGGAGGCTGGGAAGCTATTAGAGTAGTCTGTAAGCAAAGCAGTGCAGACATGGCAGAACGATTGGAAAGGTAGTAACAGTGTTTCAAAAGATTTTATAGCATTTAATACTTAAATAAAATGATCTAGGAAGAGTAAAAACTGGCGCTTGATAGTTTGAGGTTGAGTGACTAGGGGAATATGGTGATTCTATTAATGGAAAACCACAGAACTTGGGAGAACTGAGTGGGAAAGGATGACCAGGTTGGTTTTAGATGTATTCTTCCTGTATTCTCAAGTGCAATATCCAGGCAGAGCTGTCCACAGGCAGTTGTGTGGAATTGTGTCTCAGAACAGGTTTTCATCTTGTTTTTGTATTCCTGGAACCTGGCATACCTTGCACATAGTAGGAGCTTGATGAATGATCATTGGGTTGGATTGAATAGTGTACATCTAGAAATGAAGTGAGAAGGAGGATAAGATTTAGGCTGTTAAGAAAAACTAAGGACAGTGAAATGGTGGGTATGGGTGGGTGGGGTGTGTGTGTAGCTCTATTGAGGGGGGAAAGAGGTGGATCGGAGATCAAAGAAGTTACAGTAGGACTGCTGATGTGGGTGAACGAGGTAAGTGACAACAGAAAGAAGCCAGAATTGTCCAGTTACTATTTTAGTTATATTGTTCTCTGCCCAATCAAGGACTGGGAAGGATGGAATAAGTATGGCTGAAAAGGGAGATAGGATACTCAAGATAAACAAGGAGAACTAGTAAGAGCAACTTGCTGCTCTTTGCTTGGTCCAGGTGAACTGTGTTCTTAGGCGCTACAAGAACTAGGAGATGTGATTGCTGAGAGTAAGGAGGGGAGTTGAGGCAAGAAGATATTTTCTTTTTCTGTATTAGAAATAAATGTATTCAGCACCTGCTAGGCACTGGGTACTGTGGTTGATCTTACCCTCCAGAAGTATACAGTCTTGTCAGGTTTGTTAGACATGGAAAAAATAGTGCAGTTAAGTCATTTACCGTGTCACTGATGTCATTGAAGACTTTTAGGCACTCAAATAGAAAGTACATTATTTAGTCTGTTTTATAAGAGCATGTCTGAAGGAAAAGTCAGTGCCTTTAGATGCCTCAGGAAATTTTGTTTTAGATAACAAGGTAGGTGTATTTACTGCCTTTGAAAGTAGTAGTCCATGTCTTAACTTCCATTGTTCCTAGTTGTTAGTAAAGCAAATGCTTTCTTGATCATTTCATATTTTCTAATCATGACAGATTTAATAGGTTTTGATAGTAGTTCAAAAATGATCTTTAAAAATAATAAGATAGGGGGCAGCTAGGTGGCACAGTGGATAGAGCACCGGCCCTGAAGTCAGGAGGACCTGAGTTCAAATGCGGCCTCAGACCAAACACTTGACACATACTAGCTGTGTGACCCTGGGCAAGTCACTTAACCCCAATTGCCTAAACAACAACAACAAAAAAATTAAAATAATAAGATAAATAGCTCCTATTTTGTCCATAAGCCAATGTTTTGAATTTTTATTAGGAATAAATACTTGATAACAAGTTATCACTTAGATTCTGCTTTCCTGATTAGGTCAGATGTTACTACCACACAAACAGTAGGAATTTTTTTCCTTTGTGGTTTTCATTACTGAACAGAAGGATATTCTTCAGAATACAGCTGATTTTTATTTACCACGTTGTCCAACTGAAATGTCTATTGTTAATAAGCAAATATTATATGCTATAATATAGTCATTAGTTATAGTCAGCTTTGTGACTAATTGCAGACAAATTGTCTTAGTGATTCCTTTAATGTAATAAAGTTGTCTTAAGTATCCTGAAGAATTCCTTCCCTTCCCACCTTCCCCTCTGCCCACATGTAAATTTTTCTGTGAAATATACGTTTTCTCTTATACTGGGATTTTTAGGGAACAGAGATTAATAATAGTGAAAGGAGAGAAACTTAAACGTTTGGAAGTGGAGAGGAATATTATCTTTTCTCCTCTTGATATGTCATTTAATTGCATTATTAAATGTCATAGGTGAAGTATAAGATGGATCATAGATTCAGAGCTAGAAGGGACCATTAGTGGTTATCTGCTGCAGCCCCATTATTTTGTAGCTCTTGTGGCCTTCTTGTTCTTGATGTGTTTTCAATGAGGATGGGTAACAGTTGTTTAAAGTGTTTTGATAATGAAAGTCATATCTTTCTGTTTAGCCACCTCGGACATCACACCCTGTGGTGAAGTTTTCTTGTACTGACTGTGAACCAATGGTTATTGATAAACTGCCTTTTGACAAATATGAATTAGAACCTTCACCACTGACCCAGTTTATCCTGGAAAGGAAATCCCCTCAAACTTGTTGGCAGGTAAGCTAAACATTAGAATGATTTAGAAATATGAATCATTAGTAGCAGTTTAAATTCAATGTTTATCAGTTTTACCAAGTTTTTATGACTCTTTTAACAGGTATATGTGAGCAATAGTGCAAAATATAGTGAACTTGGTCATCCTTTTGGTTACTTGAAAGCTAGTACAGCATTGAATTGTGTCAATTTATTTGTGATGCCTTATAATTATCCAGTCCTCCTTCCTCTTTTAGGTAAGTAATACTTGTAAAATTTCCTATAGTTCAGTGTATGAAAAATAATTTTTGAAAAACAAATTTTAAGAGTTGTTTCTATTAGTAATATTTCTTCTAACATTGACCTTTGATCATCTTTTGGAATTGTATACATTACTGAAAATGTGTTAATCAAAGGAAGTCCATAACAGTTGCTTGTATCTTTATAAAAGGAAAAGGTGTGTATGTATGTATGTATACATATGTGTATGCACTTTAATCTGAAAATGTTCTTCTTTGCATGAATTTAACTGCCTTATTTTCTCTCTGACAGATATTTAAAATCAGTGTGTTATTTGACCCAAAATAATGATATAGTAAACATTCAAAATTGTTGGCTTCTAGACACCTCTAATATTGATGCTAAGCGCACAACTATTAGAGATGACCCCCTTCTACCCCTACAATCATCTCAGGCTAAATAATGGTGGTTACAGCACTGTTATCTATATATTCTCTGGCGAAACCTCTCCCTCATGTTGGTAACTCCTGGGATCTGTTATATCTAGATCTTCAGTATTTAGGTGATGTATTATGATGGGTTTTCACTATATTTTTGTAACCCTACCTTTCTTTTCACAAAATTTTGTTTGAAACCTTAGTTTATAGTTATTCAGAACTTTCTCCCATATTTCAGTCTGCATTTGAAATGTCTTTCCAAGCGAAAAGACTAAGAAATCAGGAATTCATTGAATGGTAACTGGTTCAGGCTTACATCTGACTTAACCTTTTTTACAAATCTCAAGGTACATGCTTTTAAAATAATAAATTTGAAAACTGGCTTTTGTAGTTCTAAATACTGAAAAGTGGTGGTTTCTACATGTTATACATTTTTAGATGACTTGTTCAAGGTGCATAAAGCAAAGCCAACAATAAAGTGGAGACAGTCATTTGAAAGTTATTTGAAGACCATGCCTCCCTACTATCTTGGGGTAAGATTATGAAAACTTTTTTTTTAAATAGAGGGTCAATTATATATTTAATTATTTGCTTCAGATATTATAATAAAAGTTTATCCTTTTGCTTAACACTTTGTACTATGATGTATTTAGATGACCATTGTATAGTAATTGCAAAGGAGAGTATTCAGAAATTTGCAGCGAATTGATATATTAGACTTGGGGTCATTAGTGCCTGAGTTCAGCTCTCAGCTCTCATGCTTATTAGCTATGCTACCTTCATGAACACTTTGCTTAGCTCTGAGCCTCAGAATTTGTCCTACTTTCCACAGTGAGAAAAGACAGTTGGCTAATACTTTTAGAACATTTATCAGGTAAATGTATATGAGTCTTCATAAAGCAGACTATATTTACACAAAATTGCCTTAGTTATCTAGGAAATTTCATACTAGGATTGGTAAAATGAGAATGGAAGATAATAAGTTGAACTTGGTTTCCTGAGCAGAATAAATAAGGGGCTACTTAAAGCAAATAGAAATTTGTAGATTTATATAGAATGGGAACGTAAATTCTTCTTAGCTGGAATTCCATTATAGACAATTTTAGACGTGTTAAAAGTTGTACCTAAATGAACACTAATATAAAATACTAAACATTTTATCAGGGCTTTGGACATGAGTGTTGGAGCTGCTCAATAGCCTATACAAATTAGGAAATTCAGGCTTGGTGCACTCACAGGAGATGTGGCCATTCCATTGATCCTTCTGTGGAGTTGGCAGATAGTTGATATATTTATGTTGAGAATATTTGAATGATGCTGTCACAGAGCCTTGGATAACTGTTCAAGTGATTGGCTCAATTAAGTTTTATTCAGGTTATTCAAAATATAGATGAAGAGAATTCCACTCCAAAGCTTAGGTGATCCAGGAACCTCTCCCCAAATTTACATTAAAAACATTGCTAAATATCATTTAAAAACAACAGCAGCATAGCCACAATGCTACTTTGTAATGCCAGTGGTTTTATGTTTCCACTTGGCAACTGAAACTTAACCTTTTCTGATGCTATTTTATCTTTTCTTCTGATAACATTCCCAGTTAAATGAAAATCTGTAACAGAAATTTATAAGACCCCCATAGCTCCAGAGATAGCAGGACCAAAGAGTTCATCTGAGCCGTATTATAGAGAGAATACCAGTTTTAGAGAAGTTGTGGCTTGGCCGAAGTTACAGGAGTTAGGAGTATGTGACAGAATTAATGTTTGAAACCAAGTTTTCTGTCTCTAGAGCCTGCATGATTTTTACCTTGGAAAGAAGCCATTGAGATCTGAGGCTCTTTTGAGAATGCATAGATCCAGCAGATACTCCCAGTCCCACCAGATCTCCATAGCAACAATTGGGGGTTGGGCTGCACATTGTTGTAGTCATTGTGTATGTTGTTTTCCTGGTTCATCTTTATTCACATATGCATCAGTTCATGAAATCTTCCCATGTTTCTCTGAATTCTTTACTCAGTAATTCTGTGTCACACTGACATACCACAGTTGAACATTTTGTTATGTGTGGGACTTTTCATTTCTTTGGTATATATGCCCAGGAGTGGGATTTCTGGGTCAAAGGATGTGGTCAGTTTAGTGTCTTTTCTTGCATCATTCCAAGCTGTCTTCCAGAGCAGTTGGACCAGTTCACAGCAAAGAAATGAAATGTTGAAAATAGTGATTTAAGATTAGCTTTGAAGGGTAGAGAGCCTGAGTAAGAGAATTCAGCTAAGTGTGTTGTTGCAGTTGTCTAGAAATCAGTGTAATGAAGGACCCATCTAGAGAGAAATGTGAGGATTGAATGAATTTGAGAAATGGAAAGGAACAGATAAGTTTGAGGAATAGAAATAGTGAGGAATATATCAATCTGAGAGACATTCTTAAAGATCAAACAATAAGATTTCTTGAAAGATTGGATAGAAGCTAAATGAATAGGAGTTTTGTCATCAGAAATAGTCATTGGGGATGAGAAGTTATGTACACATAGCAGTGAATTAACTTTTTGACATGTTTATTTTGAGTTGATGCGACATCCAGGTGGAAGGCATCTTGTCGATAGTTGGAGAGAAATTGTGCAGGTGAGAGGTCAGAATTGAAGATAGAGATTGAGGAATCAGCACAGCTGTCATCTAACAGCCATAAAGCAAGGATGAATTTTTCAGTGGAGAGTGAATTAACAAACAATTATTAAACACATACTACTTACTGTGTGCTAGGAATTCAGGTGCTAGCAATACAAAGAAGGGCAAAAGATATATTGAGGTGAAGATGAAAAGAATCCCTGATGGAGCCTACTAGTCTTTTTTCTGTGAAGAAGGTGACATGGTCACTATGACGGTTCACCTGTTTATGGTATTTTAAAGGCTGAAAATGCTTTACATACAGTCAAAACAGCCCTTTGAAGCAGGTAATACAACTGTTCGTCTTGTTTTATAGATTAGGAAACAAGCTTAGACAAGTCAAATGGCTTATTCAAGGTTACAGTGAATTAATAAGTGTCAGAATCATGATTATGACCCCAGGAGCATTCTTTCCACTGCCCCCTGCTGAGTCCTAGGCTATCCCATCTAGGGAAGGTGTGTGCTCAAGAGCCAAAGAGATGAATAAAAAAGGATTACATTTAGTAAGTTTTGTGAGCTTGACATTTTTTACTATTGGTAATATTCTGTCCTGCATTTATTAAATACCTGCTGTTTGCAAGTTATTGTGCCAAGGCTCTGGGAAAAGAAAAGGTTTTAAAAAAAGTAATGGGGTTTCTGTTTCACAGTGAGGTAGGTGGGAGAGGGAATGCAACATTTTTGTAGATAAATACAGGATAATTTAAAAAGGGTGGGAAGAGCACTGATAGACAAACTCCTCAGAAGTAGTGGTGGATTTGTCAAAAGTATCTAAATCAAATGAGTTAATCTACAGGCAGTTAAATGGCATAATAAATAGAGTGCAGACGTGGAGATAGGAAGACCTGAGTTCAGATGTGACTTCAGACTCTTACTAACTGCATGACCCTGCACGAGTCACTTAACCCTGTTTGCCTTGGTTTTCTCATCTGTAAAATGAACTGGAGAAGGAAATGCAAACCACTCATGAAAAGTTGGACTTGACTCAACAATTTTCTCCCTTGAGCTTTGGTGTAATAGTCTTTTGTTTTCAAATACTAATAATGGTTATTCGGTATGTGAGTGAAACATAACTGAAGTGATGAAAACAGGACTGATAATTTATTCTTTATAGTATCTTTAATAGTTATGCCTTTTAAATAGTTAAATGGCTATCTGATTATTTTACTTTTTCCTATTTGTGCTACTGTAATTCCATTTTCTCCCTTACTGTAGTATTTGAGGGGGCAAAGAGACTGCTTTTAAGTTTTCAGACATGACTTTTTCTCATCCAGTAACTCAGTCATAAAAGTCCTTTGAATATTTTAATGTAAGTCAAGATTCAGTATTGAATAATGATTTGTCATTTTTTTTTTCCTTCTTAGCCCTTGAAGAAAGCTGTTAGAATGATGGGAGCGCCTAACCTTATAGCAGACAGTGTGGAATATGGACTTAGTTATAGTGTCATTTCATACCTCAAAAAATTGAGTCAACAGGTAATGTTAATAAATAGAAGTATCATTAGATAGGAAGCTACTAAAATTTTTGAACTGGGATTTAAGACAGTGAATAAGACTAGAGCTAGTCTTACTGGTTCAGACAGCTTGGCTTCACTTAAATTCAGTTATCATTAGGATGGCTCAGTACTTAGATCCCAAATTGATATTAAGTTTTTATATTTAAGTAATTTTTAAATTTATAAGAAAATGAGAACTATTCATGGAATAAATCTTAGATGACATATACATGTGGTCTGTATGCACTGAATTTATAGGCTTATTTTAAGGTTGTATAATTTATTTGTGATCTCATGCTAGTTTCTTTGATATAGATGTTGCATGTTTGATTTGAGGTTTTTGTTGGAGGTTGTTTTTTTTATTGGAAGTAGCATTATTTTCTTTTGCATATATTAAAATACATGGGTTTTCTTTTTTCCTTTTTAAAGTTTCTTGGGCACACTAAAAAAAAAACAGTAAGTTGTACCATAATGGCCATAATTCAAAGTAAATGAAGATATTGTGTCAGTTAAGTAGCAATTGAAAATAGTTGTCAAATGATGCTTTATCTTGCCAAATTATTAGTGTGCTATGAAATATAGTACATGCTTAGAACTTCTGACAGCTGGGAATTGCACATTTCCCTTTGGAAATTGGCTGTTGACTAAAGTGTTGATGGACCACTAAGAAAAGTCAAAAAACTATTTGCTTCTGTTTTAAAACAAAACAAAACAAAACATTCCTGTTTAATGCCTTTTTTCTCTTTCTAGTAATCTTTATATAATTATATCACTCTTTGCTTTTTGGTATATGTCTAAAAACTTTATTGTGTGGGATAAGAAGTCACGTTGGGTAAATATTGGTGAGATTTTTCCCCTCTACCTTCTCATCACTCCTGAGTGTGATTATATATTATGTATGGTTCAGTGACATTTTATCGCTACCATAGTGTAGTGTAGTAGCTGTTTACATGGGAGTCTTAAGAAGTTTTAAAAAACCAATTTATGTAGTGAATTCAGCTCCTTTATGTGAAATTTTACCATGCTCAGATGACTTAGAATTGTGGTAATCCATAACCATGTGAGATTTTTGTTTCTTATATATGATTTTTCATAGTGTATCACATTTTTACTGAATCTTTTACATAAGATTTAAAACTTATTTTTTTATTTTTATAATCTGATTAAAATGTTTAGAATATATCATGTCAACTTCTATTTATTTTGAATTAAGGCCAAAATAGAATCTGATAGAGTCATCGGATCTGTAGGCAAAAAAGTAGTGCAGGAAACTGGAATTAAGGTCCGAAGCCGATCACACAATCTGTCAATGGCATATAGGAAAGATTTTCAACATCTGCTACAGGGAATTAATGAGGAAGTTCCTCACAGACTTCTAGACCTCAACATGAAGGAATACACTGGGTTCCAAGTTGCTTTGCTGAATAAGGTAATTGTTGTACATAATAGTACCACCTCAAATATGCTCCTTTGTTGTTGAATACAATAAACTCTCTGTTATCTGATGTTCTGCTTATCAGAACTCTGTTACCAGCACTTCCACACATTTACAATAGGGTAATAACTGATGTTAATAATGTTGACCTGAGGCACTGCACAGTTCTGAAGTATTTTCTCAATTATCAAAGATTAGCATCATTTGTGTTTGAAATAATTTATTCTGATTCTTTGAAAATTAATAATTCGTGTATACCATAGAACTCCATCAACCATATATTTCATATAAGGTATGGCAATAGAAAAGACTTTAAAGGTGCCATAAAGGCCTCTGACCAGTGGTCTCCTAGACTCTAATCAAATGGTTCCCATGGTGGAAGTTTACTACTTTAGACAACCCATTCCATTATTACATACCTCTGATTATTAGAACATTCTTCCCCTTTTTGCAGGCTAAACTGGTTAAGTAGACTATTCTGTTCTCTAACCATTTCACAGATAAGAGAGTTTACTGTATTTCTATTACATTTGTGAAAGTATTGATTTCATTTTTCCTTCTTAATACTTTAACCTTAGGATTTGAAGCCACAGACCTTTAGAAATGCTTATGATATACCCAGACGAAATCTTTTGGATCATTTAACAAGGATGAGATCTAATCTTTTGAAGACAACCCGTAAATATCTTAAAGGTCAAGATGAAGGTTAGACTACTGATTAATTATTTGTATTTCCTTTGGAGTTCATATAAACATGATATTATTACTATCAAGCTTACATCAGGTTTTAGTACATTTTTTTGAATTAAAGACTTGTTCTTGAAGTGATGCTGTTGAGGTACCGTTGATACCACAGAACACCTGTGTTTATAGAAGTTCTAGTCATGCATCCAGGGCCTTCTCTCCTTTTACTAAGTAACATTTATTGCTTGTTTCTAGAAAGTTGTTGATAGGAGGTGTAGTGGAGGAAACATGGATTTTCATAGTAGGATTTCTCATTGGACTTCAATCTATGCCAATCAATACGAATAGTATTCTGAAAACTGAGCAAAATTGCCATAATAGAAATTATGCCAACATATTTTACATTTTGAAGACTTTATTTCTGTACTGATAATTTCTGTTGGAATTTATTCTGATGAAAGCTTGATAACTGATTATATATGCAGTCTGATGAAATTAATTTAGCAGAATTTTCTTTGTTGATTCTGTTTTGTTAGATCAAGTGCACAGTGTTCCTATAGCACAAATGGGGAATTACCAAGAGTACCTCAAGCAGATACCCTCTCCTCTTAGAGAACTTGACCCTGACCAGCCTCGAAGGCTACATACGTTTGGGAACCCCTTCAAGCTAGACAAAAAGGTAACTCTTTTTAAGTCTTTCTTCATATGACTGGGAGTCATTTTCAAAAGTAAATTTAAGCATAATTTCAAAATAACTAATTTCTGGAATATGAACAAAAAATATTGGTAACTTTTTATTACAGTAGTTAAAACAGCAATAGTAATGCATACCTTAAAAGTCAGGCAGAATGAAAAGTTGATTTGATTCCCCCCATTCTCTTCCTTTTTAATAAAATGAACCAATGTTTAGCATAACAGTCTGGACAAAATCTGATACTGAAGATATTTTTGTTTAAAAGAAGGAAAATAAACCCCACAGAGCACAATATAAGTGTAATTAGTACTGATTTCAGCATGAAAACCCCACTTCTACCCCCTCTGCCTCCCTACCCCCAATAACCTTTGCTTTATAAAACAAAACTTAAGCCATGTGTTTCATGTATTTTTTAGCGTGAATTCTTTTAAGTAATTAGGAGTTTCTGTGTGTTTTTCCAGGAGTAAATCAACTTCAGTACTATTACAGTAGCTTCTTTCTGGGTTGTTGTTTTTTTTAAACTGTCATTTGGGAAAGTTTTAAAATTTTTTTTGTATTTTTCAGATTTCTTTTCTTGTTTGGGGGGAAGGGAAGTTTGCAAGGCAATTGGGGTTAAGTGACTTGCCCAGGGTCACACAACTAGTAAATGTCAAGTGTCTGAGGCCAGATTTGAACTGAGGTCCTCCTGATTCCAGAGCCAGTGCTCTGTCCAATACACCACCTAGCTGACCCTTCAGTTTTCTTCAGTTGTTTCTCAGTAAAGCTTCCATACGTTTCTGCCTTCCTCATTTCCTTATATGGCATTTTGTCCATACTAGAGTAACATTTTCTATAGCTTATGTGAAGATTGGGATGTTTCCATTCTGTACACATCTCAGTTTGTTCACATGAGGATAAAGTAAACAGATTTTTTCCCTTGGTTGGATTATTTAATATGTCGTGAGTGTTCTTATAGGTGTATAATGTGTGTTTTTAATTGGAACCTTGATTTTGACAGATGTGGTCCATTATAAATTATGAAACAGTCTTATTTGCATGTTGTCTTCCCTATCGTACTGTGAGCTCCTTTAGGGTAGAAACTGTCTTTTGCCTTTCCTTGTGTCTAGCATTTAGCCCAGTGCTTGGCATGGTGTAGGTGCTTAACAAGTGGTTGTTGACTGACTGACTAATCGATTTTATTCATAGGGTATGATGATAGATGAAGCAGATGAATTTGTATCTGGACCTCAGAATAAACACAAACGACCTGGAGAACCAAATATGCAAGGGATCCCCAAAAGACGACGTTGTATGTCTCCACTTCTAAGAGGAAGGCAGCAGACTCCTCCAATTGCAAACAATCATATTGGAGGAAAAGGGCCTCCTGTACCAACTGCACAAGCACAGCCAGACCTTATTAAGCCTCTTCCTCTTCACAAAAGTTTGTGGCACTTTTTGATCCTTTTTTTCTCTCTCTTTTTTTTTTTGGCCTTTTGATTCCTCTTCAGTTATGTATTGTTGTATAATAGATATAGTGATTTCATTAGGAATCAGATATTTCTAAAGATGATTTTTACCTGTCTACATATGTGTATTAATTCTTTTTTCATTTCCTCAAGGATAAAATTTACTGAGCACTTGGATATTCATGCCACTGTTTTAGGGGATTTGACATTTTCAAAATGTCATTTGTGACTCATAAATTTATCAAAGGTTGTAGTCACAGGTCTATAAAATATGACAATATCTAAACCTGTGCACATGAGAAAGTGATTCATATAAGTAAAGATGGTATGATACAGTTTAAATTTGGGAATTTATTATCATAAATTTGGGAATAATAATAGCTAACATTTACATAGCACTTTAAACATATTATAGCTTTAGCTTGGAGGTAAGGGTTTCAGAGATGAGAAAACTTGAGCCCCGGAGAAGTGACATGACAGGCCTGGATCCTCACTAATATGTTCATGGGGCAAGATTTAAACTCAAGTTCTCTTGACTCCAGGTCCAGCATTTTATCCACTGGTCCAAAGAGCAATATTACCTGGAACTAGATGGTGTGTGTGGTGGCGTAGATTCTGCTAAATCAGAATTCAAGGCCTGAATTGTGAGGTGGCAGTGACTGCAGTATATTTCTTCCAAACCGTCTGTTTTATAGAGGAAGAATCTGAAGTTGAGAGAAGTCGAGGAATTTGCCCCAGAGTTAGGCAGGTAGTAAGAGCCAGAGCTGAGATTCATACTTGGGGACACTGAACCTTATTTCTTTCCAAGCCTCATAATAACACTTCTTGTTTTCATATCAAAATAGCTGGTCAAGTCTAATTGTTCTTAATTAGCATGCCTTAGGTAGGTCACGAGGACAGAATGAGAAAGGCAGGTAAGGCCCATCCCCTTGAGTGAGGTAGATGCCATGAGTAAACATATATTCCACTAAGGCAAAACAGTACTAAATATAAAAACAAATGAGGTGGATTATTTCTCTTTAATATGAGGTAACATACCTTATCTAAAAGGTACAGTGCATGATGGAAATTAAAAACTGCTGCCTAAACATTTATTTTAAGAAACCATTAGCACCACAGCCTGTTTGTTGATTTATAGTTGTGGGTTTTTTTTTTTTTTAGGTAGTTGGGGTTAAGTGACTTGCCCAGGGTCACACAGCTAGTAAGTGTTAAATGTTTGGTCTGAGGTCACATTTGAACTTGGGTCCTCCTGACTTCAGGGCAGGTGCTGTATCCACTGCGCCACCTAGCTGCCCCTTGATTTGTAGTTGCACAGGAGATAGTTTGATATGCTTTAGGTTCTTATGGTCTCTGATTAAATGCTTCCCATTTGGCCCTGTGTTTATGATCTCTTATCTCATCTTTGTTTTTAGCTTCAGAAACCACTAATGATATGGCAGTGGATGATGTGATTGAGAATCATGTTGCAGACCAACTGTCATCAGACATTGCACCGAATGTGATGGATTCTGAGTTTTCAACATCCTCTTCTCCAGTCAGTTTACTGGAGCGACCAACCAATCACACAGAGGCTCTTGGCCATGATCATTTAGGAACTAATGACCTTACTGTGGGTGGATTTTTAGAAAATCATGAAGAACCAAGAGATAAAGAACAATGTGCTGAGGATAACATACCAGCTTCTTCACTCAACAAAGGGAAGAAATTGGTGCATTGCAGAAGCCACGAGGAGGTCAACATTGAATTAAAAGCACAAATAATGAAGGAAATTCGAAAGCCAGGAAGAAGTATGTACTAGTACAGATCTATTTCTGTTTTATGTGGCCATAGAGCAGTGTAATCTACTGGTGATAGAGACCTAAATGTCTCCCGTTATTAGACAACATTTGAGTCAGAGGTTAATGAATTTCATTGCCCTTTCAGGTCCATTTTGACTGCATAGTCAGCTTTGCAGGAGTTGAAATTCTTCCCCCAGCATGCAGATGTAACTAGTAGAATGATTTTGCACTATATATACTTTTACTTTAGTTAATGAGCAAGCATTTATTGAGGGTTGACTGTACCTAGGATAGTGTTTCATATTCTTCTCAGTTCCATTAGGGCCAGGATCCTGTGTTATTTAATCTTTATGTTTTCCATAGCACAGTGCTATATACATATTGTTGACATTTAATAAATGTCTCTTGAAGTTGAATACCACGATTAAGCATGAGCATAGGGCTATATTTAGTGTATAGGCTTAACAACAGTTATGTGTGGGGAAGGAAAGAAGGAGGCATTTATTACATGCCTGCCCTGTGTCAGGTACTATACTATGCCTTTTGCAATGATTGTCTTATTTGATCCTCTTCACAGCTCTGAGAGGTAGGTTATATTATGATCCCCATTTTTATAGTTAAGGAAACTGAGGCAGAGAGGTTAAATGACCTACTCAGATTCACATGTAAATGTCTGAGGCCAGATTTGAACTTGGGTCTTCTTGACTTGAGGCCCACTGTTCTATCCACTGCACCAAAGATAGTATGTAGATATTTAATGGAAATCATTTTAACTTTCAATTCACTGAAATAACTTAATTCACTTATTCAGTAAAGATTTATTGAGCACCTGCTATTTGTAAAACTTTGGGAGGTACAAAAATGAATAAAATATAATTCATGCCTTCAAGAAACTTAAAATGTATAATGTAATCATTAGAAATCCTCAAAATCTTTTCTCTACCCCTTTACCCCGAACACTCAATTTTGCTTAAATTTTTTTTCTTAACGATCAAGAAATAGTTGAGTAAAGAAATTTATTTATATCTTGTTTCAGTTGGACTTATAAAGCTATCTACAAAACTGATGGCTTTATACTTATTACTTTGATGTAGGAGCTGTCTCAAAATGTTAATGTTGTATAAATTACTTTCTTCTTCACATTTATTTTCCTTAACCATACATGTTTGGTGTGTATTATGAATCATAAATCAAAGTGTTAGACTTATTTTACAGAATGATTTTCATATTTTAGTATGTCAGTATTTCTTTGTAGAACAAGCACCTACAAAAGATAATTTAGCAAATGGTTACCTACATGGAAACCACTTACTTAAATGCTGCTTTTCATTTTTTTTAAAGAATATGAAAGAATCTTCACATTACTGAAGCATGTGCAAGGCAGTTTGCAAACAAGATTAATATTTTTACAGAACGTCATTAAAGAAGCATCAAGGTATGTAATCTTGGAACAACACAACTGTCGTTATAAAATGACCGTCTAGCACATGGCTTGTAGCCTCAAGGCCATAGGTTCCCCCCCTTCTTGGTCTAGCATATGTAATCAATATTCTGTAGAGTATTGTGCATGTACACCCTACATATAGACCTCTGTTTATATGTATCTTTTATGTTTAACAAAAATTCTACCAGTTAAAACCTTCAAACTCCTTGGAAACCATGGGATAAATGCTTTTATGTCAGCAGACATGAGGAATTTGGGCTATCTCATCTCTCACAATCTGTTGCTTTGTTATCTTTGTTTCTCTAGCCTTTGATTTTTTGTAGTCTTTGTAGTTGTATCACTGTAAATGCTAGTGATAGAAATAAGACATTGAATGGAATATGTTTATAGGTGGGAGGAACCTCTCAGAATTAAGTGAACCAATAGTGGTGCAGCTAAAATTCTGGCTGACCTACATGCCTAAAAACAGTTATGAGAATAATCTAGATCAGATTATTGTGATTGATATCAATAGGCACGTGAATTGAGATAAGTTTGTGTGAATGGAATAAAGTAGATCTAGCTAATCTTACAACAACCTCTGTTGCCCAGACAATAATTGTAGATGGAATAGAACATCTCTTCTTTTTTGGAAGGTAGCTTCCTTATAGTCAGGGCCATTGGTCATGTTTTGCCATAGCACTGGACCTAGCAGTCCAGGAGACCTGGGCTCTGGTCCCAGCTTTCTCACTGTGATCTTGGCCAAGTTTCTCCCTCATCTAGAAAATGAGGGAACTGGACTTGGAATCTGCACTGGATTTGGAGCTGAAGTACCTCTGTTCACATTCTGACTCTGATGCTGCCTACTCCCATTGAGACCCTGGGCAAGTCAGGGATCTCACTTGGCCTCACTTTTCCTCATCTGCAGATGAGATGATCTGATTCCTTACAGCATCTGTGATCCCAGGCTTGTAGACTATTTAAGATGAAGATGCTAATGGGTCCCTTATGGTTTGGAAAATTTGAATTTTTTGTAGTTTGATCTAATTATATTAACTTTGCCAGCTTTAGAACAAGCTTTTGTTTTTGTTCTTTTTTACTACTAAGGCTCAGTTTTAATTTTCCTTTCTCTTTTGTTCATATCATTGAAGTATGCCAAGAAGATTGATGTTTCAGTAATTATTTTAGGACCTACATTATGTCATATTTTTAGAAATAACATTTATATAATTTTATATGGTTTTTGTTAAGTTAGTATCTGGATTTAGATGATCGTTTGGTCATTGCAAAGAATGTCTTCACAGTAGTTTATCAGATTTGTTTTTATATTCATGCCTCTGAAGTCCTAAAACAGGCCCTTTTGAAAAATATTTTTCTAATTGTAATGTCATACTTTTTATCCACTTTTTAATTAGTGTTGTTACTTTTTCCATACAGGTTTAAAAAGCGAATGCTAATAGAGCAATTGGAGGGCTTCTTGGAAGAAATTCATCGCAGATCCAATCAGATAAACCATATTAATAGCAATTAAAAAGAAACTAGAATGTGGCCACCTCTTTCCCTCCCCTCAAACACAAAGTAAAAATATGACTGAAGGAGTACACTGCTGTGATCTTTGCATTCGTTTTTGACAAGCACTGTTAGCTATTTGAAATACTAAAAGCAGCAAGTCTACAGATCCTGTTTCCATCATTTTACAGTGACCTTTCTCCATTTTGGTTTATTTTTGTAATGTGAAAAGTATCACTCAAGAACATTTTTATTTAACAAACTAAAACACAAAAAAATCCCATTGAAATTCTTGCTTGTCATTGACTCTTGCGTGTCAATTTCCCTCAGGTTCTATTTTCTTAATCCAACCTTCAAAATTGTCACCTCTGTTAAGGTTGAATTTTGCCAAAAAAGGAAAAAAAAGAAAAAAAGAAAAGAAAAAGACAAAAAAAGAAAAAAGTTACTTTGTAATTTTTTGGGGAAAAAGCACATACATAAAAACAAGGTAATGTTTTGTATATACAGTTATTTTGGATATATTATTGTAAGTTGTACAAATGTATTTTGAAGAATATTTAAGAAAAGCACTTTTGTTATTCCATCAATAAATGCTCTATTTTAATCTTGTGTGTTTTAGGAAGTAGTCAAATTTAAAATAATCCTTTTAAGGAAAATTCTTGAGATCAGCATAATTTTTAAGGCATCACCTTTTTAGTATTAGAAATATTATACTCTTTGAAGTTTGTGTTTGTTAGAGTTCAACATAGTCTTATCAAAATCCTTGGAACATATTTGCATAATCAGATCATTTTATTAGGATATTGGCCTAAATATATTTCCATTATTACTCCATCTCCAGATTACAGGAAAAAAAACTGCATGTGGCCCACAGGCAGACATATAGTTAGGACAAGAGAGACATAGCACTGGAAACAATGTCTGAAGGAATTCAAGGAATAAAAAGCTTGGAGAATTAATTACTAGCTCCTGTACTTCCCCTCAGCTCCTTTTCTCTGAGTTTGGCAATAACTATTAACTAAACTGATGATATTAGAGGCTAGGAAGCGGGTATTTGGGACACATCACACACCATATCTTGGTTCAGATATCTAGTCAATCCTTTGAATTGAAGACTCTGGAGGTTCCAGTTATTTGTTAGACAAGAGCTTCAAAGATTGGTGTAATCAAGAAAGGGATCTAGTCTTCCTACCAGCCTATTAAATACTAAGCTTGAATGCTAGAGGAATTGAGACAATTTTAAGATTACTTTTCCATGTTTCAAGATCTTAATGACAAAGTGAAGAAGGGAACTTGGTTTTCTGGATCATAGTTTCAGCTCATATCCTCGCTGAATTCAGTACCTCGAATGGAGTTCTAGACTACTGATAAGTAGTAGAAGTCAACAATTGATGGGTTAGCCGAGGCTAACTGGAGGTAGATATACCTAATTCCCTGGGGCCTTAGCATGACTTTGTGTGCACTGCTCTGGACTCAGTCTTATTACTTCTTGTATACACTGAAGTCTGGTGGCCACTAAAACAGTGGTTCACTACTAATGATCCCCATGTGTATTTAATAAACTGAAAGAAAAAAAGATATTGATGGTAAAAGAAAAATCAGTGCATGATAACAGTTATGTAAGCAGTTTTTGTAAGTGTTTTCAGGTTCACAGAAGTAACATGCCTTTACCCTGGAAGATTCAGGTGTACTAAAAGTAGTCACAATTTTGTTGAGGAGAAAGTTCAGTGCACAGAAGGAAGTGAAGAAACCACCTTTGAGGCCTATTATTCTAGGGGATTTGTAACTCTTCCAATACAGAGGACAGAACCTGTGAATAAAAACAAATGCTTAATACAGTGCTACTTACCTTTCTAGGCATTTAAAAACCCTTGACCTCTACAAAATGCCTAGTAAAGTGGCATCTCATTCAGTAGATTGAGAAGTTAGTCCCTTAAAATCCTTTTGCAAAATGAAAACTAAGCACAGAGTAGTTGACTTGCTATTTAAGTCTCAATTAGAAATGTAGAATGTGAGATGGGTAGACTAAATGAAGTCTTCTAGTTAATAATCCTTCTAGATAGGACTGTACCTAACCATAATACCTGGGGAACAGATTAACTTCATTTTGTTATTCAGTAACTGATCACCAAAACATTTTTTTCCCCATCTATTTAACATGTCAGTTCTGCTTGTGTGTTATCTGTTGGAAGATACGTGGGTCATAATGCTCAATTTAAATTAGACTAGCTAGCTCCCCAGGACTGTCCCTAGTGAAAGGACCTCTTCCCTTTCTCAGTCCCCCTTGCCCTCCTTGTCTCGCACTTGCCTCTCCAGGTCAGTGTAGTCAGTGTGTTCTCCTGCTTCCAGTGCTCATCCTGCTGTCTCAATGCCTTTATGTTGTGTCTTTCAGTGGTGTCAGGAGAATTGAATAAATTCATTTATACTGTGTTCTGTCGTACAAGACTGAAGATATTCCTAAAGGAATATTTGCATTTAACAAGCTGGAAACCTTTAAGCCTAAGGAGTAGATTCTTAATTGTGCAATTTTAATTGTCAGCGAATGGAACAGTTAGAGAAGTAATTTTGGCCCCTCAAATCAATTTGTAAGACTAGCCTCAAAGATTTTATTGTTCTCAAGTTAAATCATTCCAACTCTTTAGTCCTTTTTGTTATATTCCATTTACCATCGTGCCCATTGCCTTCTTTTGGAATTCAGTTTTGACAGCCCTGATAAAAATGATCACTTAGTGTACATCTATCTAGAATGTTGTTCTTTTTAAATTATTTTAACTTAAAACAATACAGCCAGGGCAAATTCTCTACCACCTTCATTGTCTCCTACATAAGAACCTCTAACTGCTGTTTTGAGGCACTAGCAAGGACCTTATACTTAACTTTTTAAGGGCCATTGTTGGGAGGGGGCAGGGAATAGAAATCAAACCTAAAAGTGCTTCAGTATGTATTCATAGTTATTTGGGATTTTGAAATGACCATTTAAAGTTTCAAGGGAAATTGGCTTTGATTAGGCTTTCGCATTTTACGTGCCAGCTCCTGACTAAGGCAGTGATTCTGGCAGCTCATTAGATACGTGAGGCAACAGTCTGTCTTTCTCCAGATCTCAAAAGTTTTGATGTCGTTTTCCAAAGAGATTACATTCATCCAAAGGGAACCTCTGGCTTTGAACATGCCCTGATTTTCGCCAGCTATGCTCTGGCCGTGACAAATTCTGATCAGTTTCTGCCCTCTTAGATTTGCTTTTTGAGACAGCCTAAAATTACTTTAGCTTTACGTTCTTTAGGATGAACCATTTCTCACTGAAAGGAAGGTTCATTAAATGCCTGCCTAAGAGGAGTTAATGGTCTTTCCTTTTCCTTTCATGTTACCTCCCCACTCACTCCAAAACTGCCAAAAGTCAAAATCCTGGAAGTGTATTTATGAATCTCTTCTTACAGACATTGTCTTCTACCGAAGAATTAACTGCATTATTTTATAAGAAAATATTCCTTTCACTTTCAGCCTGAGGTACAATGTGCAGTTAAAAATTCTGAGAGAAAATGCTGTTGACAGAATTTTCCCTTGCAAATTTGTATAGTAAACATTTCCCTAAGTATACCTGTTTGTTTTTTTTTAACTCTTAGATATCATCATTTTCCTCTTGATAAAAATCATGCCTAATGTTTAGTCCAGTTAGATCACCTTTGCCTGATTTATTAAAGTCTTACTCCATTTGGTTCATTTTTACTTGCCAAATACCAATCTGTGCTGAAAATAACTTTTCCTTCTTGGGATGTTAAAGATTGCCAAAGGAGGGAAAAAGCAAACAGTAAGCTATGCATGCAAAGAGAAACAAAACACTGTTCAATTTTGCCAAATCTGAGAGGTTCTACCTCTTATTTCTGACTTGCCAAGGCCTTATATTGTAAATTTGCCTGTGTAAAGCTATGTGGTGCCCAAAAGTGCTTAGGGGAAAGAATATTTGTTTCCTGTGCAATTTCAACGAGAGTGTGGAAAATGTAAGATGGGTGGTCCAGCTCTTTGGCTGAAAATCAGTATAGAAAATTCAGGAAAATAAAGAAATAATGATCTCAAATGCACCTCATAAAGTGCCTTCCTTGGGTTAATACTTTTCTTTTCATGATGTTAGGGGTCCCCTTCAGTCAGTCAAGAATTGCTCTGGTGCACTCTAGTAGACTAAAAATAACCTCAATTCCTAAGGTGTTCAACTTAGTGTTGGAAAACAACTAATGGACCAAGCAAATTTTCTTAATATTCTTTTAGAATGAAAAAAGTATGAAAGTATAAGCTACATTTGTTATGCCACTGAACTGTTTTGATCACACAGTCGTTGGGAAGATTAATAATTTGTATTGCAATAATAATTTGTATGCAAAACCACTGAGCTAAAGTCAGGAGTCTGCAAATGAGTGAAGGGAGCAGATGTAGTTGAGGTTCCTCAGAACCACAATCACAATACAGTCAAAGCCTCATAGTTGACTCATAAGAGTGAATGTTGATGGGTTATCTTATTTCATAAACCGTAGAAGATGTCATTTAATTGTGCTACAGGTTAAATCTAACAATTAAGCAGGTGAGCCCTTGTTTAGATAGCAGAGCCCAGTCATTTGTGTGTAGTTTGTGTCGTGAATCCCATCAAAGAAATTATTGAAATACCTGTATTGGATTCTCTCAGGAAAAAGATGAATGGTCTATCTGCCTTAAAAATTGGAGTCCTAGATCTTCTCAGTAACACTAGAGCTATTGAAAAGATGAGGGGGAAAAAAAGAGGAATTAATGTGATAATCTGTTCTTATGATTTTATTGGACCTAGATGGAAGTAGGCTGATGGGCATATAGGGACTCCACTTGCCGTTATAGAAATTTTTGCGATGTAATTGTCCTTAGGGTGTGAGCCTCTACTGGAAATGTCCAATGAATGGAAACTGACTACCTTTCAAAGCATCCTAGGAGAAAGGCTACATTTAAATTGAATGAATAAAATATATCTTTGGCTTTTTAAAGATAAGACATATTCTAATGACATTAATTTCATGTTATTTACAAAAGTTTAAATTAACCTAGTACTTGGGGAAGACCAGCCAGTAAGGTCAGTGTCAGGAATGAGAGGAGAGCTAAGGTCTCCTAGTTCTAGTAATAGATTCCAAGTGGGAAGGAAGTTCCTGTGTGCTGAAACTAAATTTCATATGGATCAGTACACATTATTCTTAGGTGGTAATAATCATAAAGATTTTTTTAAAGATGGTCCTATATCTTCCTAACCTTATTTTCCTTTTTGAAAACTCATTGCTGTTGCATTGAGTTGCATCACAATTATCTGTATGTATGACTAGCCAGCATCGACAGAGCTCTGAACGTAGACTACCACACTGATATTTCAAATAAAGTTTAAAGTTCAAAAAAGGCATGACAACCTGAACTTTGATATGTTTAACAAAAGCAGGTGTGCCACTAGCAAATGCTCACTTTTCTATGCCTTGTGCAAGCTTACCTGTTGTCCCAGACGCCTTGGTACCATCCTCCAAAACTTCCATCCTGGCATTGTGGATAGCCTCAGAAACATAAAGATCATCTTGGCCTACTTCCAAGAAAAGACAAAGCCTGTGGGTTACCTGTTTGTGTTATGGCTAAGTTTGGTATAAGGGTTTTAATATTTGAAAGTGTATGAAATCCATTTGCAGTATCTGGTCATGCACATCTTGTCTCTGCTGTGAGATTTTCATTTAGAGCTTGTTTCTTTGAAAGGTGACCTCGGTTTTCAGCAGTTGTAGACTGTTGCCATTTGCTGAGGTTGAGAGTTTTATCTGATGGACTAAAAGTACTAGCCATTGACAGAATGGCTCCTGCACTTCCCCCAGCAGTAGATCCACTGCATGAAGCAATGTATGTAATTTCAGTAAAAGACGTTTAATGAGCATGAATATAATTCAGTTTAACACCTCTATGAAGTACCAGTTCTGTGCAACTGGGCGAGACTCTAGGAGGAGCAGCCGTTGAGATGAGACATGGTCCCTTGTCATGGAGCTGAATTTAACATAGAAATGTGAAGCACACAGAAAGCTAATATAGAATTCTAGTAGCTCACGTTTACATAGCGCTTTGAGACTTACCAAGGGCTTTTATCACAATAACCCTATAAGGTGAGTATCACGTAAGTGTATTTAGAGAGGTGATAAAATGTTTTGTGAGGTTGAAGGGATTGTGGAGATATGTTTTAAGGTAAGCTTTCAGTGGATGGATAGGGATTGGACAGTATAATATTGGCTTAATTGAAATCACTAACAAAATAATTTCAAGAAAACAAGGGTCCGTTGTTCTATAGCCTTTTGCGGAAAGCTTTGGATGTTAGCCAGTAATGTTGTTCTCTCCCTAAACTTTGAATATCTATTCAGAATATTATGAATCCTATGAGAGGAAAGCCCATGAGTTGATACTGTAGGCCTCAAAATAATAATCCAATTAGTTTACAGACGTCAAATTAAAGATGTTGTATATCAGGGTATGACTATATTATACAACAAAATTTAGAACTCGTTATGTGTAAGACATTATACTGGGGTCTAGCCATGCAAAGACAAAGAATTTTAAAGTTCTCCTGGAACTGGGGGTGGTTATGACCTAGACAAGATGTTACGTAAGATGGAATGTGACAGAAGCAGTGGAAAGAACCCTGAGTTAGGAGCCATCAGGGAAGACTTCATGGAGAAGGTAGTGTACCCCTGAGCAGAGTTTTGGATTCTGAAAGGCATTCATTGGAGAGAGAAGTAGATTTCCAGTCGGGAGATGCCTTGTGTGAACAGCTATTAAATTCCATAAGCAGTACAGTTTTGCAGGAAAATAGAATACACGTAGAAGATTGATGTGAAATAAGACTAGAAAGGTAGGTAACAGATTACAGAGGGGCTTAAATGTTAGGCAAGGAAGTTTATATTTCATCTTACAGACAATAGGAACTGATAATCATAGAAGTCGCATGGTGAGACTTGTGCATCAGAAAGATTATTTTGGTAGCTATGTGAAAGATTGAAGAAGGATTAGAAGGAGTTTCTTCTCTATTTTTTACGAGATTGCTCTCGATTCTACCTGCTTTAGTGCTCTTTAATCTCGTTTGCTGGAATTTAATCCATATCATGCCCATTAAGTATATATATATCCCCCTAAGGCTCTGTCCTGGGCCCTCTTCCCATTTCTCTCTGTTGTCTCACTTAGTGATCTCATTAGCTCCCATGTGTTCAGTTATCATCTCTGTGCAGATGATTCCCAAACCACCCCTCCTACTCTGTCGCCTGAGCTCCAGCCTTGCATCACTAACATTATTGGACATTTGAACTGAATGTCCTGTAGACACCTGTAACTTGGTGTCTAAAACAGAACTCATCTCTCCTCTTTCCTCTGTTCATCCTCCTTCAGAACTTTTCCATTTTTCCAGTCATCTAAGTGCTGTCTTTGACTCTATTCACAGTTCCTGCCTGTCTGCGTCCCCTTCCTTGGCTGCGTGAGTGCAGAGCCACCCTTCACTCAGGCACCTATGACTTCTCTCCTAAGCCGTAGCAATGCCTAGTTCTAGTCCTTGCCTAAAGTCTCTCCCCACTCCAATCCATTATCCACATAGCTGACAAGGTGATTTTCCTGAAGTATGGATCTAACAATGTCATCCCTATTCAGGAGACTCCAGTAGCTTCCTGTTAACCTCCAGGATCTGATATAAAGCTCTGTTTAGCATTTTAGGCTCTTCACAACCTGGCCCCTTTCTGCCTTTCTACTTAACTCCCCTGCACACTATATTCCAGGCACACAATCCCTAACAGCTGTGCCTTACACATGATGTCTCTTTTGTGCATTTACCCTGGCTGTCCACTTTGCCTGGAATGTCTCTTTACCTTCACCTCCTTCATGATTCAACTGAAATGCCACCTTCTGTCTGAGATCTTTCCTAATAGCTGCCCTCCAACCCCACCCCCTGCCCCAACTTACAGAGCCATTTCCTCTCGAGGCTACTTACACGTGTTTTACATGTACTGTGTGTATCTTGTATTTACCTAATTATTTACATGTTTCTTAAACTAGAAGGTGGGCTTCTTTAGGGCAGGGACTGTGGTTTTTTGGGGGGTTTTTTTGCCTATCTCCAGTCTTTACCAAGATGCCTGGTGTAGAGTTTAATAAATGTTTGTTGGTAGATCAGTTGATTGAGAACATCTCGGGGCGTGGAAACTAAGAGGCTACTAATATAGTCCAGGCAAGGAGGTGATAAGGGTCTGAACTAAGTGTAATCATTGGAATTTAGAGAAAGGGAACAGGTGTGAGATGTGAAGGTAGAATCAACAGGACTAGAACAGATTGGATGGAGGGGGAATGAAACAGAAGGACAGAATTAAGTATCAAGCGTGAGAAGTCGGACAGGCATGGAAGGATTCAAGGCCAAAGGATAGACTTGTTGGGAATCTATTCATAAAGTTACTGAATTCTATGATCCTCTCTCCCGAATGGATAAGGGAAACAGTAAAAGTAGAAATATACTCATAAAAGGTTGGGTTGTTTGTTTTTTACAGGGGTGAGTGTCGTAAACAGGTTATTTATGGAGCTATATCACATGTTAATTTTTTTTTCTTGCTTTTTAGGCAGTTGGGGTTAAGTGACATGCCCACGGTCACACAGCTAGTGAGTGTCAAGTGTTTGGTCTGAGGTCGCATTTGAACTCAGGTCCTCCTGACTTCAAGGCTGGTGCTGTATCCACTGCGCCACCTAGTTGCCCCCACATGTTAATTTTAGTAATACAGTGTTGGACTAAATGTTGGAACAAGCAGCAAGCAGGCTCCTCCATCCTTAAGGGTCATTTTGAATCTGACAAAGCCCATAAGATGTGAATCTGGAATGGGGTGAATTCTAAACCAGAACAAACTAGTCGAGAGAGAGGGACTAGCTCCATACTGTCACTTTTTAAACCAAAAGCTATGTCATTTCAAGTCTCTTGGGAGACTGGGAACTTAAGTAGGAGTTTGGATTTTATGTAGGTCCATATTAAAACAGACGTGAATACCATGTTGATCTCACATCTAGCAGATCTTGATCTACCAGAAGTATCCTAGGGAGAGACCCACACATACCCCCCCCCTCCAGAGTTGGTTGTATTGGGGGTTTAGTTACCTTCCCCCCCCCCGCCCCAGTTCATACATATACTATGATTTAGCTACACAGCTGTCCACAGACTTTAAGGTACTTTGTGGAATTTCCAATATACAATATTAGGAAACCACTAAAATGTAATTTTAGTTAACCCAATCCATGCTTATAAAGAGAAACTGTGGCACTGATAAAGTAAACCAGGATAGTCCCAAATTTATTTGGCTTTTGTTTGCATCAGAATAATTAATAGATTTTGAGTTGCTAAGGCACTTCAGTCTAATCACTTCATTTTACAGATGCAGAAACTGAGGACCAGTGAAGTGACTTGCCCAAAGTCACACAAGTTTTAGGTTGCCAGCTTCAAGATTTGAACCCATTATTTAGTTTGGGGGAAGAGAGTAGTTTTACTTCTTTAGTTAGGTTTTTCTTTGACTAATAATTAAATTGCTTATGTATCCCTTGTGCATGGCAGGGGGAGGCACAGAAGTAGAGATGAAAACCTAGCATTTAAAATATATTGCATATATAGTCCATCTAGTGAATACATAGGTATTTGAGAGATGACTCTCATCTCCTATAAGGAATGTTACAGGTATTTTATAGCCCCGGGAAAATTACTTCCATTTAGAAACAAAGAAAAGGGAGTTTGGAGTATTTGGTGAGAAACGGAATATTAATAGACAAATTAGAGTACTGTCTTTTTTAATCAGTCCTAGTTGGGTAATGCAAGAGTGCAGATTAAGGAAATTGCCACTGAAATTGAGATCTAAATAATGACTATAGAATGGAACCCTTAATTTCCTTTCATCAATAGTGTCACAACAGGGTCATATTATGACTTTAAAAAAACCACAAATGTTATGTTGCATTGTATTTTTATTTTGTTAAAACATTTCCCAATTACATTTTAATCTGGTTCCCATAGCACCTGCGAATTTTGTGGGCGATTTTTTTATGGCTCTGGGCCTTGAGTTTGACACCTCTGTCTTATATAATGGCTCCCAGGAGTCATTTTTCCAGATTTATCTTCACTGTTAAGAGATAGCCAGCTCCCAAACAGCTTGTTCCCAGTTTCATTCTTCCCATTTGTATCTGAAGTGATCCTTTAATTTCTCTTAAACTGAAGATCCTATGATTTATTCTGTAAGTCCTTTACAACATAGAACTTTGGGGGTGGGGGGAAATGGAATTACCATAGGCTAATAATAAGCAACCTGAGCATAGTCATGACTCAGAGTTGGAAGAGAACTGAGACCATCTAGTCCAGATTACTTTTGAACAAAAACCCACTTTCCAGCATAGCTTACAAATGGTTATTCAGCTTTTGCTTGAGATATCCAGTCAGGATAAACCCACTATGTTCTTAGGCAGTTATATGGATTCTAATTTTTAGGGGGTTTTTCCTTACAGCAAGCCTAATTTGACTGCAGTTTCCACCCACTATTCCTAGCTCTG